TCCAAATCTTGAAGGTGTTCACACGCACACATCTGTACACATCCTCGAGAAAAGCGGAACCAGATAAAAAAGGTGGATGTTCGGCAAGTCGGGAACTTACTGGGCGGGCGAATACAAACGGGGACTATTTCGTGGCATCTCACTGACGGCGGTGCTCATTGCGAGGTTGGACGACGAGTGGGCATGTGGTGAGGATTTGCGTACTGCTCACATCGACAAAGTGTTGGTTGAGGGCCACCCCACAGGATCGTGTCTAGGACCGATCCTCAGGCTCACTTTCCCCATGAACCGACGGCAAGTTTCAACTGGTTTCCTGTAGCCGTATACAACCCTATGTTCTAGTATACCCTCTGTGGAGAGTTCCACCATATACTGGGCATTCCGCTGTATCCCCTCAGACTTCCCAGGAAATCCGCATGGTTCCTTTACATTCATCCACCTCGTTCTGGATTCGCACTCTACACACGCCACGCCAGCGCCCATGTTAAGCGAGTCTCAAAACAATTCACAGCGTCGATGATTTGAGGGGAAATGAAATGCCACCGAACCTGGATTGCCGATAAGTAACATCCATATCCGACGTTCTCCGACATTGACCACGAAAGAAATTGGCGGAAGGCGTATGGGGCTTACGGCAACACTTGATGTTGGGTTTGGTCGGGCCCATCCTTGTCGTTGCGGGAGCGTGTGGTGCCGAATTCACATCGATCAAGGTGCATTTCAATACTACGACTACGACCTGCGTAGCTATCTCTGTCTCAAATTACTCATCTCCGTGAGGCTCGATGATGTCCTCTCTCCCTCCACCTCCGCACCACATGATGGTAACAGCATGCTTGATGCCGCCGGTCCACGCCTCGGATAACGCATCCTTATCCCTGTGAGGAGTCAAATCATCATCCCTCCGTCTTGATCTGATTTCCGTCCTCAGAAGAGGACAGAAGTTTGCATGCATTCTATCGTATTCTTGGCCTATACGGGAGATGTCGATAGCTGCTTCTCGGAACCTACGGCACCTGCTCATTTTCCGGACGTAACACGTACAAGGGTTCTATCAGACGAGATGGCCTCATTTCCCAACTCTAACATGCAAGAATCTAAGGATCAAGGCCCAACAGCTTTCATACTTATTGACAGCTGATCTACCGTCTCGTCCAATGCAGCTCAATTAGCACACAGCTAGCAAACCTTAACCTGAGCGGGACCACACGGAACCCTGCCTATTCAAGGGGTTCATCAAGACCGGCGGTAAGTGCCGCTCCTGTGAAGAACTACTTGAGAAGTAGACATGTCCCAATTTCAAATGCTATCCACATCCTTCGACGGCGTTCTCGCGTTCTCATAATATGAATGAATGGTACGAGGGGGGCACCAGGTTGCCTACCATTCGGCAGGTTGTTTTGGGACTAAAGGAGTGGAGCAACTCCCGTTCAATCCTTCGAAGAGGTCCTCGGCATCTACCAGCTTCGTTCGGGGAAGCTTCTGACATTCCACAAGTGCAGCCAATTCGTTATCAGCGGTGCAGCCCCCGAACTCGTGTCTCCTGCCAACAGAAGGCCGGCCCGAAATCGAGTGATATCTCACACACTCTGCCATTGCCGATGTTCGTTGATCGTACCATCTGACAAAAGCTATTGAAAGCTTTCCATGCCATTTTGTAGACTCACGTCACCTCCGATTTGAGTTAGAAGGGAGTACGGCTATGCTATCTTAGGGGACATGGTGAGAACGAAAATGATTACGAGGAACACCGATGAATCAGGACTTACGCACGTAGTACCTTCAACGGTTTCCTCGCCCAGCCCATGATCGCACGGGGTGCCTGGCGTCCGATATGCACGTAATGCAAACTCGTTCAGCGACTATGGGTGAGGGTGCAATCAAGGAGAACGCAGGTGCACGTTCCTAGATATGTCTGTAGAGTATTGATTGTGCAGGGCGCCGGCGGGAAGTCTGAATGTTATCGGCGACTTATTCCATAGGGTCCTCCCGAGAGCATGGTGCGTCAGATAGTGCATTCCCATGAGCGCACAGGATACTTGATCACCAAGGTAAGTATGGTCACGGCGATCAAGGGAAGGTTGAGCTCCCGGCGGTAGGGTGGACTTACCGAAACGCTATGGGAAGTGACCTTCACACGACATAGCAGACAGTCCCGCAGACTTATCCATGCCTTTCAACGAACCTGCAATGACTACGATGCGGTGATCCGACTTTCGAAAGACAGCCTGCAGTAGTCGGACCAAATTCCAAACGGTCATTCGGATCCCCCCGAGATGAACATGTACCAACAGGCGATGTGAGCTTATTGAAAGACGACCGTTAGATCTGAGCGCTATAACAAGGCCAGCAGGCCCCTGTATTTGGTTTAACGGTATGATATCCCGAATGAGCAATCGGATATAAGGCGCCACCAAGCGTATGAACGTTGGTCCCTCATGTGCTAAAATAAATGACATTGCATTAGATCAACTTGCGCAGTACATAAAACTATTGAAAGAGGCGCACCTTGGAACACTGCGGGTTTAATCCTCATTGGCCCTCTCTTCTCGCCGTCTTACTACTTTCAACGCCGCCACATCATACGACCGCAGATTAGTTCGAAGAAGAAACTCTGCGGATACTATCAATTATCCTTGGGGACTTTCGTACCGACTGATCCGTCCCGGCGGTGCACGAGCGCCATCGTATCTTCATATAGTCGCGTATCTCACTTGATTTGATCATAGATTAACCTCCTCGACCCTGTTCTAGGCAGTAAACGAGGTTCGTGGGTTAGGAAGTCACATACCAGTGCAGCCCAGCCAGAAAGGGGTGGGCGAGATCCGCTAAAATGACGCCGTACACGTTCTTAACATCTGGAACACAGACCCCCTGCGAATAATCGGTATTGCAACGGTGAAGTGACGGCGGAAGCTTTCCTTGCGGCCTATCTAATGGAGGGTGAATCTGCGAAAAATTAGGCGCAGTGAACTATATTTAAAGCCAAGTCCAACACGACAAAGGTGATGGGAACGCACCTGTTGAAGCAGGCTGAGACCCATTCCCAGAATATGTTCAACTGGTGACGAAACAGTTCAGCATGATGGGGACAGGTCATATTCCTCGATGATGTGAAAGATAACTGGCTGTAAGCATGGGACGCTCTGGCGTATAGATATCATGAATCGGCCCCGCGTATGTGGTTTGCGTAAGGACTATCAACGTCATTCGGTCCGACCTCATTGATCAAGCGTCACCGTATATCAGGGGAGGGTTATCGTTAAAGAACAGCGTACCATACAGTGTAGTCATTTCATCTCCCCGATCTATGCCCGCATTAGCGCGGCAACTATGCAAGATCCCAAACGTCGAAATGGAGTTCCACAGAGAGCGGGGGTGCGAAAGTACTCAAAATGACCGGTCATTGCTTCCATCTCTCCTTCGATCCTATTCGGGGAGGTGGGAGTTTCGCGTACTATGTGAATCGAAAACACCGGCAAGAAGGCGATATGGGTGTCCTATGACATTTCACAGTTCAGACGCTCATCAAAGCACAACGGTAGTTGACGGTCACATACGAAGGATGAAATGAAACCATTTCGACATGTTGATGACACGATATTGATTCCTGTGGGAGGCAGGAGAAACTCCTGAGCCAAAGGCATCGTAGGTACTAGGCACCGAGCTCTGATGCTGAACGAATACTAAGCTCCCAATAGTCAGCGATCATATCAAGAGTTAGATGGCTAAGATCTTACTGGTCATGCCGCCGGTATCCGTGCCAGATCGTGGGCACCAACGCGGCGATCACTTTCTGTCATTTCAACCGTTCATGTGGACCCTGCACTTCGACTTCCGCATCCATATGCACCATCCAACGGGAGATCCCCGTGTCTAAATTAAACATCGTAGCCGTTTCCCGAAAATGGTGAGGTGGTTCAGCACACCGTGTAATGCTGTGGGATTATCTCTTTGATTAGATGGAGCAGATTGGGAGTTCGTAGAAGCACCGCTCGCCAACGTGGTATTTGCAGAAAGATTCGTGGTAGCGACGCCTTCATCCCAGGTCTTAGCATGCTTCGGCTTCCCCTAGCTAAGTACTTATCCTAAGATAATGAGAATATGTAAGACTCACGATGTGAAAGATTACCCATTTGTCAATGGCGTAGAATGGGGCTGGCCAGGAGCAACCACTCGGGACCTTGATACACGAAGTCCCAGAGCGTTAAATCTTAGGATCTTAGGACTAGACGTTTAGCTCGCTTCAAGGGATACACTACACGTACTTACTTCCACCACGATACACGAGGCCTGAGGATTCTCTCGTCCATATAGCAATCTATATATAACCTTCGTCAGCCCGGAGACAAGCGAATGGAATGGCCATAGCCCTGGAGCGAGTATGGCTTCTGTGAACCGTTAATGGTGTCACGAGGCACTCTTCACCGCATCTTCTGTACTAGTCTGTTCGAAGGGCTTATTGAATCGATTGAACATCATGATAAAAAGTCCTCATGAAGTTGCCATCTGCCATCGTTCAATTGGGACGTGTGAAGGAGAATGTTATCTGGAGTTCACATTGTTTAATATGGCCAACACATCGAAGACTTATAGGAGAGATACCTGAGAGCTAATTATCGCGAGATGGAGGTTACGTTTACAGTAAGTTGTTACGATGTTGAATTTCTATTTTTGGTGATCGGCCCGCTGCTTAGGGGTACCGGCTACCCCTCATATTTTATTTTAATCCCAATATAAAGTGTATATGGTAGAATAAACATGAATACAGAAGTGAGCAAGCTAATGCTCGATCCATATACAATGAATAAAGTAAGAGTTCTAAACCACAGTGGTCAATCGACATATATAGGCATGGCCTTAAATAAGAGAGCAAAGAAGACAGGACCCCTCTCTCGCCTACAGCGAGGATTGAAGATACGGCTGCCGAAGCGCCAAATGAATCAGCTCTAGTTACAGCCTAAAGTGACTGCATTTGTGGCCCTCTTGACACGCAACACCTAAATGTAGAATGTGTGCGAGTGAACAGGAGAGCGCTGCGACAGATACACATCACACCCTTTAGTATACAGCCGCGCTCCGCCCGAATTCACGATATGAGGGGTGAGGGCCTCTATACAAGCGTCCAAGAGCGCCACCCGGGCGTCAAACGGCAGTTCATTACGACAACCCAACGTTGTGGAGACTTCCATTTCGAGAGGCACTATTTGTACTGCCTTCAGAAAAGGAAGGAAGGCTAAGACGTGCTCAGACTCGCAAAGGTCAACACGTGTGAGGTTGAGCAGCCGAGCCTTTTGTGGATGGGCGAGGCCGACGCCTAGTGGTGTATCTAGTGGAAGACAGTTCGATAGGACGAGGGTATGGAGGCCTGGCATGTTGCGTAGTGCACTTGAGAGTTCGGCGAATGTTGAGCGGTCTTGCGTGTCCAGGAACAGGGCAGTAAGGTTGTGGAAGATATGCGACGACCATGAAGGCAGTTTGATTCCGCTGAGGAATAAGAAATCCAACAATGGGGCTTGCGTTCCACCGAATATATTGGCAGGAAGCCGAGTTACCATATCGTCATCAAGCTGGGAGGCCGGTGCGTGCAAAGGTTCTGGTGGTGAGACTCGTATTCAAGATACTGGATGCGCTGCAAGTTAGGAAGCAACATATTGAGGGAGAGGAGCGTCTCAGCCGGGTCGACGTTATCTGAAGCTGGGCAGTCGATGATGAGGGGAACTGCTCGGCTTCGCTCGAGAACCTCTTGTAGCGCATTCGAGTCACCAGTAATTTGGATTTTGCTCCAAGATGGTTGACGACGGCGTTCCAGTGCTTATTTACGAGGCTGAAATCAACGAGGGTGCGATAGTTCGCTTTGGTGTTGATTATGGTGTGATCAAGATCTGCGACCGCCAGCTTGAAAGTGTGGCAAAGGATTTCATATGGGAGGGAGAGGATTGCGGCCTTTGCCTTCTTCGGGTGGCGGGACGCACGAAGTTATGTTAGTAGATAAAAAAGAAGTGCCACTGCGTCCAGGGATTCACGCAGAGCCGACAGACGAATACAGAAAAGTTCCTTCCGAAGGGGAGGTGGTGATGACCTAGGGCACTGACTTCGGAGCGCGTGTTGGACGGGGGATGCTGTATTTCTACAACCAGAGGTTTCATACTTTACACCTTCCCCGTCCATGGGTCCCTTGGTGAGCAAGAATAGATCCAAGGTCTTGTACGTTTCCTCTCTTCTAGGACTCGAAGCATGTCATCAATCCCTCTGATACCATCGTCGTTGCAAGGCCAGAAGTAACAAATCTAACGCGGTATCTCCCTTCCAACAGGGAACAGTGAGTAATCGTAAAATCGTACATTGGACGGGCGCGGGATGGGAAGAAGCGGTAGAGAAGTTGCTCTTGGGCGCTCGTGACATCATCTGCGTGCACCATGTTCTTTTGTCGGGTTGGTTTTGAGGCAACCCACTCTCCTGCAAGTTTCACCGGGTTAAATCACATTATATTGGCAAACGAGAAAACGATCCTAGCCATCATAAACGCATGAACTACCTGTCAGATCTCAGCACGCCATGCGCCCGCTGGCAACTACACCGCCCACAAATTCGGATTCGGTTCCCCTGGGTCCGACGAAGCCCTCTGCGTATTCTCCAAGATTGAAGAGGACCGGGAAAACGCCGCCATAGTTGTGATATCTCAGAATATTGTCTACGTCGCCCCAGACCCGCGGCCATCGGCTGTCCCAGTCCGCAAACACGCTCTGCAGGCTTGTGAAGGGAATCACCTGCACCAGGATGTCGTTCTGCGCCATCCAGAGGTGGGTTTGCACGAACCCGTCGATAGCGCCCTGGCGCAAGGTGATGCTCTGGAGGTCCCGTAGGTAATGATAGAGTCCACGAAACCAGACGGCTTTGAAATTCATGTGGAAGTCGGCGCAGAGACGGCGGACTGCCGCGAGAGGTAGAGCTCGCACCGCCATAGCGAGGATCTCGTCGTAGACCGCAGATATGGGAGACTCGGCATTGTCGTCGTCGAAACCGACAGCAATAGAGAGCACCGGTTTGGAGACACGACCCCTCATAGGACTGTAGCTACGCGAAGGGCGAGAGCGCGAGCACTGGACGATGAATTGGTCGGTCTTCGAACGTACCAATAACTCGCTGAAGGGGCTCTTGGGCATTGGAAGGAGCAAGCGTGCAGCATTCTGAAACAAAGACAGCGGATTGAAACCGTCGGCTTTGCATTGTATTTCCAGCTTAGAAAGTCGGCAGTCGATGGCGGCGAAGAACGGGATGCAGTAAAGTCCTCGGTCGTGGACGATGAGTTCCCGAAGAGTCCTAGGGAGGCTTAATGGGTAGGCGTGGCAATTATCCCGGTTTGTGGGCAACTTCAAGGCAGGGAGGTCTTGAATCTTGGCACCGCACGTTGGAGACTGTACCATCGGGGGAAGAGCGGAGCCGGGGAGTAGCCAAGGGAGAGATTCCACCAGAATGAGAGTTTTCAGGGCGCTCGTGGAAAGAAGCATGCTACGGAAATCCACATAGGGCTGACGAAGGGGGATGTTGAGGGACAATGAAGTCAGGACGTTGGGCATATGGGAAGGGTACTTCAGTCCGCAGGATCGCAGAGCAAGTTGAGTGATACGGTTGGCTAGGGCGGCCCTGGCGGCATCGTCCTGAGGACCTCCTTTCCCTGGCTCGATGTCGAACTTGCCTTGAGAAGTGAGTCTGAACGACCTCAGATGAGGGATTCCTTGACAGAGGTCGCTGGGGTGGGTCGATTGGTCAGGAGACTTGGTCATAGCAAGGTGGGGGAAAGCGAACCTCTCGAGGGCTCCGTTTTATAAGTGTTGCAGCCACTCACGATCAAAGCTCTTGACAACAAGATGTGGCCACAGAGGGCCAATGGCCACTTGTGTGCACTCCCATTGTGGCCCTAGGACTTTGCACCATCGTGGCTTCTTGCGAAAGAAGATATCAGAGATGGCCGTATGGCGCATGGCATAGATCTTTGTATACACCGATTGTTACGATGTAGTAGGTCGCCCAAAGATGTGACAAAGCGGCGACGCTCGAGCTGAAGCAATGTAGCGGTCTCTTCCTTGAGATTGTCTAGATTGAATGTGCGCGCCATCGGCGGGTGATAGTAATGTGTAGGGCGCAAAACCTGGACCAACTTATTTGGGTGTGTTATGACAGACCAATGATCCATCTCTTCCTTCCGCTAACATTTCTTACTTAGTCTTAGTTGATCGTTTATACAACACTACGGATTTCATAGCTTTAAATCGACCTCGCCTCTGCCTCTTTTTCTTTTCTATACGCCAAACCAACTTCGTGTTCATCTCGACGGAAATCCTCACTCACGTCAAGTTCATGCTTGAGGCAGGAAAAGGGGGGGCTCGGGGCTTTGTACACCCACGTCGGTTGTGTTCTGCAACCTTCTGTAACCCTCCGGACGCCTGTTTTTGCGATTAGGAGCATTCACGGTATGAGTTCCATCATTACATCCTTCTTTTCATTCACTTAATCATGTCCACAGCGATGAACACAGTGTTGGTTACTCCAGAGCTCCTACGCCAAGTATTCGAGTGTAGCACTCGACGTGACAATTGGTCGAATATACTTGATACCAAAGCGTGGTTTCACAAGGGCATCACTGTGCTCTGGCGCCGCCTGGACTCACTACGACCGCTACTCAACCTTTTGGGTCCTATGAAGTTGGTGCTGCTTGAGTGCGGCGAGCGACGATATGTGCGTGTGTCTTTGATATCGATTCTCTGATAATGGGACCGAACTTCTTTGCCTGGTGATTCCGTCGACCCATCCGCCCAACTGATTGGGCTACGTTTCACAAGTATGCATGGCGCATCCACGAACTCCGAAGTATCCGCCACAAATTTGACTTTAACGACTCCGTTGACAGCGACATTGGAACCTCCCGTCCAAAGTCCTCCATCCGCCCTAATCCACGTTGTTTCTATTACCCGGGAGGCTCTACCCTCCCTCTCCCTCTACTAATGAACACGAAGATTCTGAAGGAGGTCGTTCTACGCATGGACGGCACGATGGAGGAAATTATGCGAAAGCAGATGTCGATGACTTTCTTTCGTGATCTCGCACCAAATTTGGAGGTTTTACGCCTGTGTGTACCCATGCTGGGCGACGTGGACTGTGTGCTAGAGGTCGACTTCGCAGAGGTCCTCGCGTCTCTCCCTCACTGATACTACCACCTTCGTTCCTCACGCCATGGCTTCTGCACGCTCTTTCCGAGCTCCCCCACTTAGGATCGCTCCGCGCCAGCAGAGCCTCGTTCGAGGGGAATCTCGATCTAACTCCCGCGTCGTCCATCCCCAATGATCACGGCTGACGAAGCCTCGCGGACTTGGAGCTGGAAGCCTGCTCGTATAGCACGGCCGCGTCGATCATCATGGCATACAATCCCCATGGCATTACGAAACTCGCGGTCGAGTCGTTTACGCGGGAAGCCCCCAGCGCGTACAGTGACCTATTCTCTGCTACCAGCTCGTGGTGCCCGAGATTCGAGGAGATTACCATAGCGAACGATTGGCGATGCGTTCAGCCCGATACTCGCCAGCGCTGTTCTTTGAACCGTTGTTCCGTTGCTCGTAACTAACCTCGCTGACGCTTAACAACTCCGTGCCTCTGTACCTCGACGTCGTGGACATGACTGAACTTGTCAAGGCTCTCCCAAACCCTGGTGCGCTCCGACTTTACGCAGAAGCGACGACCCCCCCCCCCCCCCCCCCCCGACGCTACCCCTATCCACCCTCGCGACACTCGCGCCTGTGTCCAAGCATGGAGCAATTGGCCTTAAACTTGGATACGTCTGACTTCAGCCCCCCCCCCCCTCCCCATAGCGGGAACTGCGACTTGCCTGGGTTTAAGTTCAAACGTTTGAAGGTCCTCGACGTCTGCCTCTCTCCCCTCCGTCCGCCTCCCCCTGCGGTGGCTTCGTTTTTGCTCGCAATCCTACCGAAGGGATGTAAAGTTGATTATACGATCGATAACGGCGCGATGAAATGGAGAGATCGCCCTACAGCTGGAGCCAGGGTCATGTTTTACGCGCTTTGCAGCGATTCTGACCAAGTACTTTTGGAATGGGCGGAGCGTCATACGGGTTTATATCTTTTATCTCTAACCATGCTTGCGCCAGTATTATCTCATTGATTTGGACATTCAGCAGTGCGGCAGGATGATGAAGTCGTCAAACCGTCGAACATAGGCGAATCCTTAGGATCATACACTGCCTTTGTGCCCCTCTATGTTTCGACAAACTTCAGATTGCGAATAGCGAGGCCAGATCGTCCTCTCCCCTCTCCCTCGACTGCGTACACCGTGGTTGTTTCATCGTATGAACTGCTCTCAGTCCGGAAAGCGCTGATTTAAATGCCTTGTCCGCGATCTGCATGCGATCTGATAAACCTGCTGAACTCAAGCCCGACCACCTGTACACCATCGCGTCAATGGACGCACCTTCAAACCCGATTATTGGGGGACCCTTGGGTGGACGACCTTCCACTATCCCATCGTCATACGCGACTCGAAGTGAACAAGAACAGGATGTTGGTGCTTACTACGACCCACTGTCAACTGGAAGGGACCGTAGCGTTGATTTGCGCACTTCTTGGACGCGCGACCTCTTACGGACCATAGACGTGGACGCTCCTCGAGAGACGGCGTTCCAACGATGCTTGGGCAAGCATTCTCAGTTTGGAGCTCGGTCGGGCAGATATGATATAAACCACCTTGTTCCTCTCCGTTCCCAGTCCAGAAAGTCGATGGATAACTGAAGCTGCGTGAACTGCGAATGGAGGAAAACCGGAAGAAAGGTGTCAGGGCCATTAATGTAGTTTCAATGACGCAAATTGGGGAGGAGCTCAATAACTGGACGGCTTGAAGCGATGTAGGTAAAGAGGGAGTCGCAGAATTAGTATTTTTCCCGCATATTCTGGATTTCACGGACAGAGTATTTCAGGAACACAACCAACACGCGGGTTGGATTGGTCGTCGGAATCTGCGCGGGTCCATAACAATGTCTAAATCCTTCGAAAATGAAGCGCACGTACGTATTTTCGCTCACCCTTTGAACTTGTCACTACATCCAAGGGGGCGAATAGACTGAGGAGTGGTCGAATCGTCTCGATGCTACTCTAAAACCAAGGGGAGGGCTCGCGAAACTAGTGCATTGAGGCCATTATCACTGCGATCGCAGTATTCGAAGACCAGACGTAGGACCTCTCTAGTGGTCAGCATACGGGTTGTTGGATTGGGCGCCATGTTACGCGTTTTTCGTAGAACGATAGATCAAAGAAACGACTGGGAGTGAACGTGACCGCGTTTGACGAAGTTCCCGCGTGAACAAGCGCTCAAACTTGGAGACTTACCAGTATCAGCATCACTATTATATCCTTCTCTCTTTCCCGGTACGGAACCGACTCTAGAGCGGGAAAGACTAGACTCAAGAAAGAATGCCGCCGCCGCCACTAGGCTCTCTCGACGCGTTCGTATTTTTCGCCATAGTACTCCATGACTCGCAAAGGAGCGTGATGTCGCATAGACTGGCTGGATTATAGGGCACAATGAGGACGAGATCTTGCCGGCCAGCGGTATGTCGAATCTACGCATCTTGTGAACTCTTAATTACGCCCCGTGTGTCGGCGGACTAGGCTTTAGATCTTCCCTACTGTATGATCACTAGACTGCGGAATTCCATCGCGCCCCGACATCCATGCTCTACCTTTCACGCTTGGGTGATCCATCTCTCTCGAATACAGCCTATAGCAAGCCTATCCATACCCAGGGAACCAAGGATGCGAAGGCCGTCGTCGTTGAACTTTGCTTCTTCATCCCCATTGTGAGTGCTGTCAAGCGTATCTCTTGGAGTTGTACTAAAGCGTCGGCAGCGTCTCAACCAGCTTCGTAAGAAACTCTCGTTCACGGGGGAATCAAGGGCTCTGTAAATCTAAATCACTTCGCCTCGTCAAACGTTGTTCGTAGAACGTGCAAAGGAACGGGTACTGTTCAGACCGTATACCATCGCTGCTCAAGAGCTTTCGCGTCTCGTTTCATAACTATGTGATTTACAAATTGGTTTTAATCTATCGGATCGCCCACACCACAACATATGCATCCACTCCCGGGCGCTGCCTGGACGGACCCAACCCTTCATGTACATTCACAGGCCTCGAACAAAGCCGTCAGCATGGCCCCCGACGTTGCAGAACAACAAGTATACGCCGCCCGCGTTGAGATACCTCAGAATCCTATCCGCGTCCGCCCTCACTTGCGGCCATCGCGTATCCCACTCCGCAAACACCGTCTTGAGGGACCTGAACGGCACCATCGCCGCCGCAGGGTCGTTGTACGCCATCCAGAGATGCGTCTGCAGGAAGCCGTCGATGGCGTGGCGGCGCAGGGTGATGCTCTGGAGAGAGCCCAGGCAGGAGAAGAACCCGGCGAACCAGGCGCCTCTGAAATCAGCGTGGAAGTCGACGAGCATGCGGCAGACTGCGCCGAGCGGCAGAGCGTTGACGCCTGCCGTGATGATGTCCTCGTAGACCGCGAGAGGGGGCAGCCCGTCGTCGGCGCTGAAGTCCAGGGCGATGGAGAGCGCGGGGTGGACGATGCTGTCCGCGATAGGGCTGTCGCAGTACGCAGGAGCCGAGCACGCACATTGGACGACGAGCGTGTCGCGCTCGGAGCAAACAGCCAGCTCTCGGAGGGCCCCCTCGCGCAGGCGCGGGTGCAGCAGCCGCGCGGACTCCCGGAACAGGGGGATCGGGTCGAATCCGTCGGTCACGCACTTGATTTCGAGGCGGGTGAGCTGGCACGCGACGATGGCGAAGAACTGGGTGCAGCGGAAGCCGTGGTCGTGGACGGTCAGCTCGCGGAGGGTGCTGGGCATCACCAAGGGGGAGACGGGGTCGAACATGGGCCAAGTCTTAACAGGTTCAGCGTGAAGGGCGGGTGGGTTGGTGCCAGCAAGGGGCCAAGCGCCAGCATAACAAGTTGGAGATGCCGCGCGAGGGAGTCTCTCGGATTTGCACCCAATGAAGTCGGGAACGGCACCAGGGATTGTCCACGGCAGGGAATTGACAAGCGTAAGTTGCTTCAAGGAGGTCATCCCGCGGAGCATGTTGCTGAAATCCTCGTAGGGCTGGCGAACTTGGGTACTGAGCGACAAGGACGTCAGGGTGCTTAGAGAGAGAGAGGGAGCGCGTTGCAGTCCGGAGGCTTTCAGGAGAAACTCCATGATGCGGTCGGCTGTTTCGTCTTTGGCTCCATCGTCTTTGGACGTTGCGTCTGCCGGGGCTCTGCGCTGGGGAGTAAGTCCGGTGCCCTGCACGCAGACCTGGGGGAAATCGTTGAGATGGAGTGACTGGAGGAGACGCATTGGAAATTTGACGAGGAAGAAGCGCAAGGATGGACCGGGACAGCCTTGGGAACGGCTGAGTTATATAGATATGGCGCGCCACTCTGGCTTTTGGCCACTCTGCCTTTGCTGTAGGGGAGCCACAATCCCACCCATTGTCTGGACTGTCCGGCCACACTCAAAGAGTGGACAATGCCTGCACTGGCCACCCGACTTCTATTGTGCGGCCCGCGGCGACAAAAGTCATCATGGTCGCTGTTTCACTCATCTTATTGGCGTTGCCGGCAAGGTGGAACTCGCGATCGTCGTTACTCCGCCGTTGTTTGGACTGTATATCATGTATGAGTGCGTCCGTGAAGGTGGATTCAGTATACAAGTAACAAGTATACATACAAAGAAGAAAGAAGAAAGTGGCCATGCTACATAGAATGTCCGAGTATTGATACAACAGTACAATTAGTACACGTAAGGTGGCGTCGTAAAGATCGTGGCACAGATGTTACATGCGCGTGGCGGATGCACGAACGGGCGTCATAGATTGTGGGCGGCAATGTGCCGCATGATGAGCAGCGAGGCTAAGAATTCTATCGTCGCGTTTAGTAACCGTGGGTGACGCAGTGCGGGGTAGGAACTCACCGGGAGCGAGATGAGGGTACGCTTCTTCTACCGTAAGCGAACAGCCGGAGGACCCAGCGTACTCGGGTTCTCCATGCGGCTTCAGGCTGTAATACGCGACAACGTGGCCGCTGGAGTTCGTGCACTGTGCAGATGGGGAAAGAAGGTGGGGGAGTTAGTGGCCGGCCTAGAACGAGGAAGAGGGGGGGTCTCACAGCCCATTCTTGATCCATCTGTCCCCGATAGGTCCAGCAGTACTCCTGCCCATCCGAGGCTCGGAAGCGCCGCGACTTGGAGCTGATAGCAAAAACGTCAGTCTCGCGTGGGCATGACGCGCAGGGAGGGACACCTACGATCCCGAGGAAGTCTTGGTCAGGTACTTCTGCATAGGGATGCACACGTTCGGCGGAAAGTTGATCGTGCCTAGCGTGTTATTTGGTCCGAAGTCGAGAGCAGCTAGGGGTTTCGTCGTCGCGTGGAGGGAGTAGCTGGGCGACGACGTGGTGTTGAAGATCATATACGCGGCGCGGGTGGTGTCGAGTGTTGTTCGGCGGAGGGTGAGCCTCATGCGTCCGTAGATGTCGACGAACTCGGAGCCGGTGAGTTTGCCCGTCATGTCTTCGAGGAAATAGGAGAGGCCGTACGATACCATGGCGGGAGAGGGCTGGGCAATGGCGATGGCGAGATGGTGATAACAATGTTGTTATCTGCGCAGGTGAGGACAGGCTTATAAAGAGGACGAGGGAGTGCTCACGGATTTAAGACCACGACCGTCTCGGCCTGGGTAGACATCCCTATCCGGGGAAAACAACCACGAGAAATATACTATGCTCGGATCGTGTTGAGATGACGAAACAACGCACGCGTGAAGTTGGAGCAACCCGATCGACCACGTCTGCGGAAAAGACACCTATCAGCTACGATCAAAGAGCATGATTCGGAGAGATACGTACGGTTTGGCGAGTCGCGGGACGAAGACCAAGGGAGAAGAATAGACGGTTGTCAGCAGCCAAGGGTTGGCTTCTGCAACGCGGAGATTTAGCCCCATGCTGGAGATTGGATCAGTGTGCCGGAGGATGCCTGCGGGTGACATGTAATTGCAGAGCAGTCCCGCCCTGAAGTTCGTCCTCGTGGGCGGGCATGGCAAGTGGCGAATGCATTCTTTGCGGGGAAAGGATGCACTGCATCAGCTGTTAGCAGGCTCGTGCATCAAAGAGTTTATGGATTATGTCTTACCAGACGTGGTGGGCAAGCGAAGAATGCAAATACGGGACAGAGGCAGTACAAGTTCCGCCTCAGACTGGAGATTCCCGCCGGAGAGCCTTGAGGCGATTTGAAGGATGGAATGAACTGGCGTCTAGAGTTAAGGACGATCGCTCAACTCTGGAATATTTGAACGCCGTACGCTGAACCGCAGCCGCTTTGAAAGCGCGTCAACAGGCTGGGGACAGCTCCCTTGTCTCAAGAGGTGCTCGCAGTCAAGCGAACGTTCGGTAAACTAATGACTGACCGGCGAAAGCGTCGGCAATGGCCGATCATCCAAATATGGATCGCGTCGCGTCGTGCTTCTGACAGCCTGTTGAGTTGCTCCCAGCGACTCGCTGCTCAATGTAATCTTGCTCGAATTCCTTTGTACCCACGCCCATATTCACGAAACACCCGAGGGGAATTAATCCCACAGCCAAGTCTCTGGATAAAGCCGCCGTTGAACCGCTCGCAAATTACTCGGTGGCTTGGAAAAGTGAGTTACAGCGAATTCAACGCCTTCACAGAAGCTCAACAACGGACCCATGTACCAGCTTACTCGAGTGGAGCCTACCAGGCAAATATAGCAGAGCCTGATGAGAACGCGCATCCTACTTTGTCTAGCTTGTTGGGGAAACCCCAGGCGCGTCCCATCCGAATGAATGTATTGTTCCGTACAGCATCCCGGCTGTCATTCGCATTCATGCACCTATCTTCATCAGTATATCAATAACTCACGCCGGAATGGCCATGTTCATCAAGCACGACTGTACGAAGACATACTCTTGACGTAACCTTTCCGTATCCTCCCCTTTCGCTCCATAATTCTCGCTCACGATGCACGAATCTTGATGCCTCGTGCCTCCAGAGTCACCCATGTATCTCCCTTTCAGTCTCAGCTTGCTCATGCTCTTTCGAAATTTCACAGACGTCTGTCGAAAGAGGAATAAGGATCCTGAGACTGGGACGTGCGAGGCGCGAGGTACGGTGTATTTCCGGCGTATCGTGAATTGTATCTAACTCCTTTGCTCCTAGAGATATGATGAACACGTCTTCTCATATACCTAGCTCGCCTCGCGCCAGCGCATTAAGGCAATTATGCTGGCTGGGTTTCACGACATCAATTGACCCGGGAAAACGCCACCAGGCGCCACCCAGTGTCTTTCTCTGCGCCTTTCGCGACGCCTGATGTTGTTCGCATCCGTGGATCGCAATCCTCGGAATCTTGCTTTGTCGAGGAATATGCTAGGCAACGGCAATTACTTATCCTGCGACACCAACGAATAGTAAGGATCGAGAACCTGCCGAAGCTTCACTCTCTCTTCGCCACTATCGCAACTCCGAAGACTATCTCGCCCAGCCAACTTCTACTTCACTCGTCTTCACAGAATACTGTCGAGCTTGGTCAATCATCCTTATCTTGTCTTACGTGCCGTCTGTACCACTGGGCCGAGACGGTCTCCCTACGGCGTCGGCCAAAAATACGCCAGCCTTTACTCAGCGTCTGGATTCTGGAACTCTCTACGAGCAAGGTTCTACGGATGTCGTATCGGTGCGTCTTTGTCTATTAACTCTTGCTTCTTCCCGGGGCGTATCATCTCCGTCTTACTCGTGCCGTACCACAGTGTATAGATGTATCAATCAACTGGCAACCAACAAGATGGCGAGCGATTTCCTACGGCCGTTATGCGGCCGAGCCTCGCCCCTTTCGTAAAGCAACAATCTGCGAGAGACTGGTTTGCGCGGCACCTAGGAATCACGACCCGGGAAGGGGGCACATCGGTAAACCTGCCCCTCTCCGTCCGTATCTGCGGTATTCCCACCGGCTCCTCTTGGCTTCGGCGAACGTTTGAGAACAATCGCGCCGCGTCACCTTCACTTGCTTGCCATCAGCTTTCAGCTTTCACAGAGCACCGTGCCATGGACCCTAGCGGTGAATTTTGCAGGGAGATGAGGTAACGGTAATGGACGCGTAGTCCTCGCAGCCGTGGTTGAGACTACTATATATCTCCTCCCGGCGTTCGCCCTCTTGAGTCTGCGGCCCTCATCATCATCCACCGAAGCGGAGAGTAAGTCGCAAGACGAAACTCCAGCTAGCCTTTGCGCCCGGGAAAATTCTGCATTGCCGCCGACTTACCCCGTCCCGTGAGCCTCCTTACTTCTCTGAGCCTCGCCCTCGCATTCATATCCGCGTTCCTCACTTCACAGAACGCCTGCGTACACGGTATCTGCGCAGAAGTGTCCCGCAACCGGATTGGACCGTCCGTAATCCGTGTCACCTCGTTTGCTGATAATCCGTGTCGCCGTTATGGAATTACGATTACGGCAGTCGAGGGTGTGGAGTGTGGAGTGTGCCGCGGGTGCCTGGGACTCTCTACATGCAGTACAATGTGGTGCGGTTCGATTTCCAGTGGTTCAATGAACCAGGCCAGCGGTGGGCTTTCCGGATTCTGTGCTCCATCGTGAAGCAGTATCTTCGAGAGCCGACGGCCGTCGAGATCGCGGTCCGCGCTGTGACTGGACTCCGTTTGCTGGAAGGTTCTCCGCCGTTGATTGCATTGTGGGCCCTTTCTCAGATGGATGTACTTCACGGGGAAGCCTACACTCGTACACTCATTCACATTCGCACAGATTCCCAGGGCGTATGCATTGGATTTATCTGTCAAAGCAGTATCTCCAAGAGCCAACGGCCGTCCAAATCGCGGACCGCGTCGCACCTATACTCTGTTCGCTGGAAGGTTCTCCATCGGCGTGAGCCTTGGTGAGCCTCTTCGAGTGTATGGATTGTCACGAGGTGCTTTAGTCTCGCACAGATTCCCAGGGCGTATGCCATGGATGTATGTATCTGTCGGCCTGATAACGGGGGCAGACCCGCCTGTCTCGCCGTGATACGGAGCCCTTGCTTGGCGCGCCGTATCTGCTGAGATGGCACGATAGAGCTGGTCTTGTTCATCTCCGCCTTTGTCAGATCCCGTGGGGGTTCATTCTTCCTACGGGACTCGGTGGAGGCCCACTTCGCATCCTGGCCAGACGATTTCTCGCTGTTGACCTAGAAACAATGTGGGCGATGGAGGATACAAAGCGTCGAGAGCCTCAGAACGGGTTTATTGTGTCGCACCTGGCGTATGTTCCCGCAGGATGGGTCTTCCTTGCCGCTGAGGATATTGCCTTGTCGGTGAGCACAATCCTTTAGAATTATACCCGACGTACTCAGGACATGCATATAACCTGGTAGGCTGCTCTTCGACGTAGCGAATAAGAAGGTAGTGGCAGTATATACAGCGCAGTCTGCGACATTCGTCATATTCTTCATGACTATACAGGTACATCGAATGAACATGTATACGAGACTTACTATCCACAAATACAACTGCTATGAATAGAATCGAATCGAATCACGCCAATCCTGAGTCTTTGATCAACTTGACAGCCTCCGCGGAGCGAGCTGTATGGAGCACTTGAAAGGACGAAGTTGCCTGGCGATTGTTGACCCCAGACCATCCGAAGCTTTGCCAGAACGCACCTCGAGAATCCAGGGATCCCATTGAATGTCAGGTTTGATTTGTGCTCGTGGAATACAAGGGGCTAACTGAATGAGAACCCACCAGGTCATTTCGGCAGCACTTCTCTAGATTGCATGGGGAATCCGGGAGCTAGGGGCCACTGGTTCCGAGAAGAGTATCTGGAGATATATAAGACGTGGCACTACGCAGTGCGCACACCGTAATGGATATTGGGATGACCGAGAGGACCACACAAGAACGTAGACATATAAGTATACTAGATCATGAACGTACTAATACAGGGCATGTAATGCTGATGTGATAATGCAATGATGAGGTGAAGTGCATGACGGAAGGATGACGGATATAATCAAATCAAAGTCAAGCCAGTCAAGTGCTGGAATCATGATCAAAGGGAAGCGAGCGTGCAGAGGCCAAACCTGGTGTCGAAGTAAGGTTATCGTAGACTGTATCGGTATCAAACGGGAGCTCAAGCCGTCCCATTGCCAGGCGTGGGGTCGTGGGGAGGCTCTGAGGCACGACTGGATCCTGTTGCTTTGCCATTCGTCGCCCTAGATCCAGCAGAAGAGTGAGAATAGACAACAAACAAGATATATATCATCACGCACTCTTTGCTTGGGACTCCTCATTCGGCCCCAGGTGTTCCGATTGTCGCTTGGTTTTGAGTGCGCCGGCGGCGATGTGCTGTCCATCGATACTCGGCGTTACGCATATTTGGGGAACCGTGCGGGTATCTGGGGGGTGCGTTGGGCGAACTCTCCCCGTATCGAATTTGACATCGAGATTGCCCGTTTTCCATGAATCGATGTGTATGAGGATGATACGTTGCATTGCTTCGTGGAGGTGGAGGGCGCGGGGTGGCGGGTCCAGAAGGGCCCACTCTGGGGAAACCTGAGACGCCAACGACGCAAGAAGAGGCCCAGCATGAGCGAGGTCGGGATGCAACCACTCATTCCACAGTTTGCCTCCAGCGAGCAGACCCGCCCGACTATCACATATATCTTGCGAAGGGCCGACCTGATGATTGGCAATATGCCTCCACGCACAAAACAGCGGGAAATCGTCTGGATCATTAGGTATAACTTCGTCTGGGCTTCCCAAGGGCACAGCAACCAGCAGGAACACGACCATGCACCAAAACACGGACTCTGCATCATGTCGCGGATGATGCTCAAACTCTGTGGCTATCAGCTCTGGGTTTGCCTCGTACTTCTCCTCGACTTGGTCTGCATCGTAAACGCCCCCATGCTTGGTGGAGCGGTCGTCAACCAATTTGCGCAAGCCAGACGGATCATTGGAGTACGCTTTACGGTATTTCTCGGCGAGTTCGCCTCCGAGTTGGGGCATGCGACGGAAAGCTAGGTTGGTGACAAGCAAGCGGCCAACAGCAGGCGAGCGAGCAATGAACTTTGGTGTACCCTACAGAAGGAGGTAATGAGCAGGCAAGCAATACATTTCAAGGAAAGCTCACCGTCCGAAAACGCAGGGGTTCATCATTCATTCTCAAGGTGTTTCTCCTTGCGACGAACGAGGGTGATACCGCCTTGTCGCGATCAAGCTCTGCCGCGTTATCCATATCGCCAAGGCGAGCCATGGGATCGGCATCCTTCATACTGAATTAACGCACGAGATATGAGCAATCAAAACGGCGGCTAGGGTGAGGGCGAACCTACTTCTCCAGGATCTCATTGACGAAAATCGGCCTAAGTTCCTTCCCGGCGAACTCTTTTTCGTCTTCCTCCTTGAAGTCTTCGGCTTGAACGAAGATATTACCATGACTAATGTCACGATGGAGAATATTGCGTTCCAGGACTGCCCATCGGTGGGCTGTAATGCATTCAGCATGTTAGCAAAGGTTATATGAGATATGGCTTACCTTCGAGAATGTCGTACATGCATTTGGCAAAGTCGATCAGGCTAGGGCATTTACGGAGAGATTCCCCCCACGTATGCATGATGAGTCGAGTCTTGATGCGTGTGGTTCTGCGAACGGTGACTGTTATGGGACGACCGCGTTCGCATAGAACATCGTACTCCTTCTTCACGCGCAAGAATCCAGGAGCGGGCCCTTCTCTCTGAAGGATGTCGTAAAGCTCGCCTTCTCTGAAGCTCGCATGAGCGTCGCGGTACGAGTCCTTGATCGTAATCGGCGACGTGCCGACCCTTGCTACCCAGGTCATCCGACGCCATGGGTCTCCGACGACTTTGACGGCGCAGTTTTCATAGACCTTGTCACCGTCGCGGATATTCCATGTGGGAGTTCCAAGGGGATCGGCGCTGTCAGCCAGACTGATGCTCAGGTCGCGAGATGGGAAGTCCCTGCGAGGGATATACAGCGTGTAAATGTATGACAGCAGGGGAGTGATGTCGTTCCACTTGAACTCTTCGGACGTCTCGAGGCCGGCAGGGCAGCTGTACTGAATAACGTACCCCTTCGGCGAGATCGAGATCCCGTACATACCAACCATGTCGGGACGAGATTGATTAGCGAAGGCCAGGTAAGCGGCAGACTGAGCGGGGCCGTCCTGGCTGTCTGCTTCTCTTTTCTCTTCGACGGGGGATATCACGAGGTGCCATGGAATGCGCTTCGTTTTGTCCTTTTCGATGAGTTTGTTGATGAGATCCAGGATAGTGACGATGTCTGGTTCCCCGGCTCTGCTGTCGTTGGGATGATTCGTCGGCGAGTACGAATGGTTGTCACGGAAGACAATCAGGTCCTTGTTTTGTGCCCATTCGGCTGTGATGGATACAGTATATAAGTAAAGACACCGAGTCGTAGAGACATGTACTTACCGTGTATGAGGGAACTTGCGAGATTGAGCAGCTTGACGAGCAAATCATACTTCGTCGTTGGGGTGTCGCTGAATAGTTTCACGAGAGCTTTGAGAGTCTCGTTGTTTAAGATAGTAGAAAAGGATTCAGGACTGTTCAAGCGATCTGCGCGAAACGTATTCTGGGGTGTAAGATAGTCGGTACGGGTGGCTATGTCGGACATCTGCCTTCTATTGTATGGTGGCGGTTTCGTCTTCTTCACTGGTGTAGTCTGGGGATATAGCTTATGGTCAGCCATGTTGGTAGGTCAAATAGAGAGAGGGAGAGAGACGCGCTCATCCGCAGAATTATACTCACCTAATGGCCACAATCAAACAATGGGACACGACGAAGTGGCCAGTGGCTTGCTGGTAAGAACGAACGAGTTAATTCCAAATTGGGCTGTGGCTTCTTGTCGGAGTGCCAGTCGGAGCTGGAAATGCTCTGCTTGCTCATATGCAGCTAACCGACCGATACGGACCAGGACTTGAATAGCTTCAATCGTAATGTTTACCTATAGACATCCTATAAGCAACTATGCCTGACTGCTCGACTTCTTCAAATACATGTACGACGTTCTCGAAGGTGAATCGTATCTTGCAAGCCCCATTTCCATCGTTCTGACCGATGTAGGGTTGGCACCCTGTTCAAGCCTTGATTCATGGTTTATTGTACGTATACTATCGTTTCGTTTACTTCCTGTTTCGGTCCGTCATCAGCTGCGGCCGCATTCTAGGTTAGGTACTAGATTACTTACTTACACATGCGCATTCTGCATGTCTAGTTACATGTAGTACAAGTATATATAGTACCTACATATCTACCCACAATAATAAGAAGAAGTTTCCCCCTTCCCTCCATTGCGTTGCGAAAGTCGAGTCCAGCAGTCGCACGCGGCGCTGCTTGGTCGCGTTTCCGTCCTCCGTTCCGTTCGTCACGTGGCGTTCGGATCGCGTTCATTCGTTCCTTCTTACTTCGTCTTTTGGTGGGAACACACCATTCCCAGTCCTCGCATTCACACCAGCGAATACGACTTCGCACCTACAATTTTGGAGCCCACCGCGAGGGACCCAAAAGCTGAAGCTTTCGTTCTTTTTAGGTAATTCTTTTAGGTCATCAACTCCGCACGACTCTGCGACACGCGCCCACGGTTCCAGCCAGCCGCCAGATTATCCCTGACTCCGTCACGAACACGTACAAGCGTCGCACCACCATTCTCATTTGGATCTCAGCACCACACGAAGATAATCATTGCCCCATCCTCGATCAGTTCATTATCCCCGGCGTTACCCCACCACGTCGATCGATCACGTTTCCAACCAGCATCACGATTAGCGTTTACGTTCTCGCGCCTACGCGCCTCATGATCTCAGCATGTCCACTTTCTATATGCCAGAACCAGGCCAGCGCCACGCCCCATCATTCAGCGGCGACCCCGGATCATTAGAGAGGTTTTTCGACGAGTTCAAGCTCTACGCAGTCACAGCTAATCTCGACGGCTCAACAAAGGTAATGTATTCACGCAGGTATCTCGATGACAACGATGATTATAGAACATGGTTCATCCGAATGATTGGAAAGCATTCAAGAATGCGATATACGACGAGTACCCAGGATCGCGCATCAGCGAGTTCACCAGTCTATCTGAGCTCGAAGAACTCATCACTCAGTACCGGAATCAGATCACGACAGCGGCTCAACTAGGAAAGTATCGACGACGGTTTACTGACATATGCAAAACATTACAGGAAACTAGCACGCTTAGCGAATGCGAAGTGATCCAGCAGTTCCTTAGCGCGTTCCCCGATGACATGCAGGCCACCATCGACCCTATCCTCCGTATCTTAGCACCAGAGAAGCCACGGCACGAAGTGTACGACCTCGACACCATATATCATGCGGTCCTACATACGTACAACGGCAGATCGACGTTCTCGACTCAGGATAACAGAATGATCACGGCACCAGCATCAGCGGAAGAAATCCAGTGCGACGTCAGCATCACGAACTCGCCAGTCCCAGCAGCAACCTCGGCAGCCCAGAGTCCGATGAATACGCGCCCAACGGAATCAGCCTTGACGACAGCAGACACGGTGACAGCAAAGCAGACACGCAATCTAGGATCGCACCCAGCAGTCAACAGCCAGGATCCAGGAACGACACAGCCAACGACTATCACAACTCGGCTATCGACCATCCCAGAACCACACGAACAGCTCGAAGCGATCCCCTCAGTCAACTCCTGCGCAGCTCAAGACAGATCACCACCACGGCCAGTACCTTCCGACAAGAACCACAGCGACGACGAAGCGACTATGGAATCAAATTGCGAACTCGACACCGACAACTTGCCACTACCAGCGCCTGAACCTCCAGACAGCGAAGACAAGAGTAACGACGATGAAACAGCTATACCGGTACCCCACAAACTCGACGGCACGCTATCACTTCCACGAACCATTTCTGCGCCTCACACCACCACAGCAGTAGCACGGCGAAATGAAGCGCTAGAAATTCGACACGAAGTCTATCGACAACGCCACAGAGAAGGAATCGGCACGCAGAACGAAGAACTCGGCCCTAGCATTTCGCAAGGAGATCGACGGCAACGGCATCAACTCTCAAGTCTACGGCTAGCTCGACAACACGCCAGACGGTACTCAAGACGACGGCAACGGCTACGCAAGCGGTGTCCGCCCGAACGAACTCATTCAGGGTACAACTACGACAGCTAACGACTCGCTGCCACCCACGCAACTCGAACCGCCACCAGGTTAATGGAAACTCGCTTACGACACTCCCTCTACGTATACGCCACCACCACCATCCTCTCCCCACGTTCGCTTCACCTTCCCCATTGTTATCACCATCCCCGCCGCCTCGAAACGATAATCTACGGACATGTACGCTATCTACCGACGATTCAACGAACCGGCGTACGCAAGATAGATAAAAGAAATTTGATCACGGCAGCTGAAGCTTAACGACAAACGGCATCGACAACAGTAAATTACCTAGTACATACGCGCAGTCCCTTCCTTTCACCCACTCCACCACGCAACCCATCATTCCCCAAACCGCACCGCCTCCTTCCCCTTCATTTCGTTTCGTAGTACTTAGTTATTTCCGAATCCCCGTCTCGTTCTCGCTCGCATCACCCCCCAGCTCACTACCATCGAAATAAACGACCAAAAACATCATATCCTACATACAGTGACTCAAAAAACCCTTTCTATGTTGGTCACTTTTGCACAAAACACTGAATAACAGAAGAACTACTGAAAATGGTAGCTCAGGGTCAGTGTAGCATTTGTAGTGCCCCTTCTCAGCTAAGTGACATATCTTGATTCAAGTCAATCGGATAAGTCTAGAATATTCTACAGAATTTCTAATCAAGGGATGCATTGAAAGGGTTTTTTGAGTGTACTATCTAATACTTGGTATTCCCCCCTTTGGCCTTGATAACGGCCTCAATCCTCCTGGGAAGGCTTGATATAAGGTTCTGGCATACCTCCACATCAATCCCATCCCATACCTCTGCAACCCTCTCCCATAATTCATGTACTCCTCTAGATGGTGTACTGTAGGTGTTGAGTTGGCGTTTGATGTGCTCCCAGAGGTGTTCAATGGGATTAATATCAGGAGACTGGGCAGGCCAGTCCATGACCACAATCCCTTGATCCTCAAACCACTTCTGTGCCAATTTTGAGGTGTGCTTGGGGTCGTTATCCTGCTGAAAGATCACATCCTCTGCAGGAATATCGCACTCCTCGATGGTGGGAAGGAGACCATCAGCTAGAATGTCCACATATTGCTGGGCATCCATCCTCCCCTCAACCTCAACCATTCTCCCCACCCCATTCCATCCCATCACCCCCCAGACCATAATATTTCCACCCTTATGCTTGACAGTTCCTTCAACCTCCCAGTCCTGCAAAGGTGCACCCTTCTGTTTCCACACCCATTTCCTACCATCTGACCCAAATCTGTTAATTTTAGTTTCATCTGACCACAATACCCTCTTGAAGTCCTCCACTGTCCAATTCCTGTACTTTAAAGCCCAAGCAAGACATACTTTCCGATGTTTGACCGATAGAAAGGGTTTTTTCTTCTTCACCACAGCCTTCATATCGTTTTTCTTGAGGACATTGTGCACAGTTTGTGTGGAGACAGGGTTACTGAGGACTTTGTTCAAGTTTTTGGTGACCTGAACAGCATTCTCAGCTTTTCCAGAGTTGATTTGGCTGATGATTGCCCTCTCATCAGCCATAGTGAGCTTCTTAGGACGTCCACCCACCAGGTTTTCCTTGTTAGGGATTACCTGGCGAGCTACCCTAGAGACAGTAGCTGCACTACAACCCAACATAAGAGCAATCCTGGCCTGAGAATGGCTGGTATTAAGAAGGGCAGAGGTGATATCAGTGCGAAGGGAGTTGGGAATGGACTTCATTGTTGTAGGGAAGATGAACAGCTGACAGAGCTTATATATAGTGCCGGTTGTGCCTGGATGAGTAATATATGACATCATATGTGTCATTCTGATGATACTGAGACTTTATGATGAGTAATAGCCAGGAACAAGGCATTCAGGAACCACACTCAAAAAACCCTTTCAATGCATCCCTTGAGTAGAAATTCTGTAGAATATTCTAGACTTATCCGATTGACTTGAATCAAGATTTGTCACTTAGCTGAAAAGGGGCACTACAAACGCTACACTGACCCTGAGCTACCATTTTCAGTAGTTCCTCCGTCATTCAGTGTTTTGTGCAAAAGTGACAAACATAGAAAGGGTTTTTTGAGTCACTGTATATTAGATATAGTTTTCGTTCCGTTTCGTTTCATTCATACTAGATCAATTCCTTTTAATTTTTGTCGCATTTCTTTCGTATGTTACAGCTCCGATCCCCGCCTATCCTCCACTACCCTCCGCGCGCCACATCTCTCTCAGACGCACTGATTCCAGTACATGAGCATGCCAACAACGCTGGTTCATTCGAAAACATGGTCAAGCGTGACTTTCAAGAATTTGGAGCAACATTTGTTCGAAGCAAGCCACTCTGGCTCAAGCATCGACATCGAACACCCCTGTTCCCCCTCCTCATACGTCGACCACCACCGTCTTCGTCTCACCGTCGCCTCGCCGTCCACCGCCATTATCAGAACGACTCGCGAACCCCCCTATCGAGCCCCTTACCGCCGTACGACCACTACCAGGACACCACCACGTACCACCGCCGTCGAAAAACGTAGACGCCA